AGCTGAGGGGGGCGTCCGGCTCCGGCTCCGTGGTGCTCCCGGCGGGGATGATTAACCCTTCGGTGCCGATCCGCAACATCCGGATGAAATTCGCAGTGTTGATTGGACTCATACAGGTCGGAGAGGTCAGCAACAGGGACATCGTGGAGACGGTGCTCAACCTGGTAAGGGAAAAGGCGTGCTGTCCATCTGTCACCCCAACCCCACACCCTCCATTCCCTGCGCCTCTGGCTCCTACCCGCCACCCCCAGGGTCACACACGCAGCGCGTCCCCGGGAGCGCTGATCGTTCCAGCCGGTATTGCCCAGCGGGTGACCTGCCTGCGCGCTGCCAAAGCCACGCCACCACCCTCCCCTCCTCTGGTCCTCCCTTGCCACCTGAGCGCGGTCCCCAACTTAACATCGTTTCTTATCACTTCTCATGGCCAAGTAAATCAGTCCTCGCTGTGAAGGTTTTGGGTCGACTTTAGAGTTTACTTAGCGGGTGAGGAGGCCTCCTGTTCTCTGGGGTTCTTTCTCCTACACTCTTAATTGTCCGTGGTGTCGCTCTCCTAGGATGACAGTCTTGCCCCTGGAGCCTAAATTCCCCGTGCTACAGAAATGTGAGAAGCGCATTAGCTCCAACTTGAGCAGCTGGGGTGTGATGTTTTGCAGAGAGGAGGAAAATGATGCAGTTTTGCATCTGTCTTTAAATATATTCCGAGGCAGTGATTGAGAGTGTTGTGACTGTATCCACCCCCACTCCCCCAATCTCATAGGCAGCCTTCCCTTCTTTGTAATATCGCCCGAATATGCTGATCTCAGTCATTGTGCACACAAAGTGTTAAATTGTGAGCACCAAATCACACAGGTTGGTTTCTATGGTTGCCTTCAGGAGCATGGCATATGGATAAAAGACTAAAGGAAAGGTGTTAAATGCAGCGCTGGGTTTTGGTTTCTTTCATGATAAGAAAGAGTTACTGCAGAACTGTGTATGACTTAATGTTTTGCGCTGTCTACGGAGAGGCTAAGAAGCATTCAAGATGTCAGAAGGAACGCGAAGAAATGAGAGAAGAATTATACATTGAAGATAATGAAAAGTTGTTCATTTTTAGTTCTTTGTAAACGCAGTTTTTGCTGCAGCAAAGCTTTTTGAAGAGTTTCCCCTGAAATATCTGATCTTTGACAGACTGTCAGGTTGGGTTTTGGGTGGCAGGGCATAAATCGGGAGCAATCAGTTGACTATTATATTTGGTATGGAGTCACAGGAATGTAAAAATATGCTTGCAGGGGGATTTTATAACACCCATGTCTTATGATTTTTCAGCTAAGCAATTATTTTTATTTGACCTATTGGAAAACCGAAAGCTTCAGCTACAGCATTGATGCCCTGAGACATGGATTAGATAATGTCTAGTTTTTGAACGTCTTAAATTCACAGAAAAGTTGAAGCTGCTTTTATTTTTAAATTTTTTTTATTGGTGTGTCAAGTCAAAGCTGGGGGATTATCGGTCTTTACTTAATACAAATCACTTCTTTCTACTTATGTGTATCCTTCAAATAATTCACGAAAACTCAATAAAAATTTGGGAAGAATGTCACCACATTGATTTAACCAGATTATTTTCAACACAGTAATAGAAACATGATTTTCTTGAGAGTTTTAATCTTAGCTATCTACAGTTATGAGGTCAGTTTTTGAAGATAAAATATCAAAATATTTAGCAGGAACTGTGTTTATATGTAAAGAAACAAATTTTTGAACCTTTCCAGTTTTCAGCTAACCAATACCATTTTGGATTTAGGTGACATGCCATTAGGTTATTTTAGTAAGTATTTATATGCTTACTTAATATATTTTAATCTGATAAAAGGCAGTAGAGCTTAGACAGCTGGAAACTGATTTGAATGTATAACCAGTTTGGACTCTGCAGCAATAGTGATGTATGCTGGATCAGTTCTTAACAGATGGGGTTCTTTAGAAATAGAGTAGAACCAAGAAGGGAAATGAAGTATTCCTTTTGAAGTAAAAAAGGAATTTAACTCTAGTATAATGAAAATTTGACATTGAAGGCTTAGTATGCAAACATTATTTTAGAGATTAACTTTATCCTTAAGCTTAGAGTCATTAAAAATAAGGTAATGTACAAAATATACTTAGGACTTTATATACCTGTGTTGAATGTTTGAAATTTAAAAAGTTAGGTTACAGTAGATTTTTAAATGGAAACTTTTGGCTAAAAGAATAAGTGACAAAAGGATCTATTTATTACTAAGTTTAATAAATACTGCTTGTGAAATATGAATTAGCCACCCAAAGTGTACTATTTCTTCAATTGTGGTTTTGCTTTATATCAAAGATGTCATGTAAAAATTTAAACTGATTTGCAAAATTGTGGAAAATCACAGATGTTTAAAAAATATTTATGAAAACTGAATTCTATTTAATAAATAAATAGAATTCATTTAGGGCACTCAGTGACTTGTTAGAGGTTGGAACTTTCTAATATCTCTAAAATGAATTTTTTCAATTTTGTCTTAATTTAAAATGTTAAAAAAAAGTAAGTTGTGAATAGTGAAATATCTATCACTGTGCCTTGTAAGACAGAAAAGAAAGAAAGTGAACTAGTGAAACTTCAAAACAAAACAGAATTTCTACTTTAAACAATACCCCTGTCTCAGTCACTTTTGTTAAACTATTTTTTTTTCCTGTTCATTCTTTCTTCATACAGAACATAAGAAAACAAATACTTAGTTTTTAGATGCTACTTCTCACATACCTTGCCCAAATAATTAAAAGTTTTGCAGAGTAAAGTGTAAGCTTGTGTTAAGGACTTCTCCAACACAGCTCTGGCTGTACTCTTTCTGCTTTTGTTTGCTAAAGGTAGAGATCCATTTCTACTCTTCAGATGGATTGTGGGTGTTTGCTGAAGAATCACTGTTAAGCACAATGTGAAATTAAGTGAATAATTTTCACTGTTAAAACATAAATTCTGTATAATGATATTATGGTTGACTTAAAACATTAAAATATAGGCTGAATAGTATCAGGAAGATGAGTAAATTAGTTAGTAAATAAGGTACGATAAGAGTATTGTCAAGGATTTTGTAATGTAGCTCTACCAAAGAAAGAAATTAATCATCCACAAATATTGGCTTCAGGAGGAATGACTTACTGTGGTAGTATTAGAATTTAACTACCGAAAAGAGGTTTTGTTAGTTGTTTCCAGTTGTGAAGCAGGCGTACGACTTAATCTATTCCTTCTTTTGTGATCATACTAAATATGTGTTTATATGATTTCTCCTTTCTTAAAGTAAATGCTACATAAATATCATGTGTTATCTTTGTTTATAATATGGAAGTTTCTTATAATCTCAAAAAGATAAAATAAAGGATTAATACTTAATGAAAGAATTCACTATAGAGATTAATTTATTTATTTGCCTAATGTAATTATAGTTTTTAATTACTGAATTCATTGTGAATTTATCAACTTATCTTTTTTTCATGAATTATTATGAGATAATAGTATGTCTTTAATTGTAGAAATATCTATTTCCTTAGATAATTTTTTATATTCTAAGTGTCATTTAGTTTACTGTATTGAAAGCATGACAGGAAACTTGGAGTTTTGTGAGATAAGTTACTCTCCTCTTAGTATATGGATAATAGTATTTTGTTGAAAGGGAAATTTTAAGTCATTTTCTATTCAGGAGAGTAACAGTAACTCTTCTTTCTTAGAATTTTTCATCTTAGCTTGATAATTATACTTTCCACTTTAAAGATACTTAGAATTTCAAATAAAAGATGTGTTCTACATTTGAATTAAATCCATTATAAAAACTATACAGTTGCATCTAAGATAGAATCAAAAGACCTTAATCACATGTATTTATGTAAAAAGAATTTCCTGCATTTTAATTTATGCTGACATGTAACCTTTTTTTACCAACTTAAGTTATATTTTATTCTTTCTATTGAGTATAAGAAATTAAATTAATGTATATGTAACTTCATTAATTTAAGTTTTAATGTCTTGAGTTTTGAGATTTTTTTCACAGAAATAATAAATTAGCCATATAATGACACTAAAGCAGCAAATATTTTAGTCTGTGATCAATTTTGACAAATTGCTTTTGACAAATACTATGGTGTTAATTAAAATATCTCAAGATTTTCTCTTTTTTGGCTATATTTTCCCCATTGTGTAAGAAAATCATTGGATTTAGTAGATCCAGCTTCCATTTTCTGTCATGATGCAACTATATTATAAAAGCAGTCATCTGCATTTTTTACTATTTACTTAAAATATTGTTAGGTATATTTTTTGCCTGTACCTCTTGTATTAGAGAACTTCAAAAGTTCATAGAGAATGTGTATTATGAAAAAATTATGCACAGATTCCAAGTTTTTTTGGCACCAAAATAGACTCATACTTTTTTTTTTTTTTAAGAGAATTTTGCTAGAAGAGACAGAGAGACAGAAAGTGAGAGATCACCCCCTCTTCCCCCCTCCCCCCCCAGGGAGGATGGCCATACCACAATCCCTTCTCCTCCTTTTTCCTGTTAGGATCTTGGGCATGCATACTGGCTTTTAAGCTGCTGGATCTGGAACTCGAACTGCGGTTGACTTCGTGAAAGTTCAGGGATGTAACCATGAGTCATCTGCTGGTCCCCAAATAAACTCATACTTTAAATCTATTTTCCACAAACTTTTGTTTTTTAAAGTCCCTTAGTACTTTATACACTATCTGCATATCTTTTTGTATTACATTATCATCTTTTAGTATTGCAGTGATTTATTTTTCTTTTCCCTCCTGTACTGTGAATTCCATGAGGCAAGAACTAATCTATGTTTGTTTGTTGATTATTTTTGTATTTCTGGCTTTTGGGTAAGTGTATTTTGTGTATGCATGACAGCATTTTTTGGCAGTGATAATTAGGACCAGTTTCTGAAATTGTATTTAATACTAGGACCCAGACCCTGGATCCTGAAATAAATTAGATTCATGTAAATTTAATGTATCATTCCTAAAACTAGATATGTGTGTGTGTGCTGAGTATGTATGATGTTATCTGTCCATGTTGGCATTACTACGTATATAAATGTTATTTCAAAATAACATCTGGGACCAGCAGGTAGCATGGGGGTTAGGGCACTGGACTCCCACATAGTCGACCATAGT